CAACAAATAACATGTGTTGGAAAGAATGTATAGAAAAGGGAACCCTTGTGCACTGTTGGTGGGACTGCAAATTGGTGCAGCCGCTATGGAAAACAGTATGGAGATTCCTCAAAAAACTAAAAACAGATATACCATACAACCAAGCAATTCCATTTCTGGTATTTATCTGAAGAAATCCAAAATCCTAATTTGAAAAGATACATGCACTGCTATGTTCACTGCAGCATTATTACAACAGCCAAGATGTGGAAGCAACCTAGGTATCCATCAATAGATGAATGGAAAAAGATGTGATACAGATACACACACACACACACACACACACAATGGAACAAAGGAATATTTTGCAGCAATGGTTTCACTAATATGTGGAATCTAAAAACAAAACAAACAAAATAAAACAAAAACAAAAAACAAAACAAATAACAGACTCATGGAAACAGACTAAAAGGATGGTTATTAGAAGGGGGGAGTGAGGTGGATAAATAGGGGAAGGGGAATATAGTCCATAATATTGTGAGTTTACACCGTGAAAGATGATTACTAGAATTAGTGGGGTGGTCACATCATAAGGTGTAAAAATGTCAAATCATTACATTGCACACCTGAAGCAAATATAATATTGTATACCAACTATACTTAAATTAAAAAATAAATTAAAAAAATGAGATTAACTCCAGGATACACAAAGTATATTAGAAAGGAAATGGAATCATATTTTATAATGTGGCTCATCTGTAAAACATTTACATAATCATAAAAATGTAAACATTAATTTAATCGAACACTGCAATATAGTCATTTTTAGAGGTAGATATAAGGCAGTGTGCATGGGTGGTTGTATAAGAGAGCTATATTCCCATCTTCCATAGTGGGAAGTCAATTGATAATGTTTAAAATTTTTAATTAACATATTTATATTACAAACTCTTCTCTAGAGATACTGAGATAAATATCAGAAGAAATGGCTTAAAGTATAAGCCTAGGGAACAGGGGAGAAGGTGGTAGAGCAGGAGATTGCTTTTATTTTTCTGAGTATTATACTATTTGACTTTTAAAAATAATAGACATGCATTTATTTGACATAAATAAAAATTAAATTTTAAAAAAGTTAGGTAAGGCTGTGGTAATAAAAAGGAAATAAAACCTCTATTGGCAATTCATTTATTATTTTGGAAGCAACTTCTACCCTAGGGGTAAAAAATGGCAAAAAACACTTTTTTTATTTTTATTCTGACAATTTAGGGGACATGGTGGTAGAAATGCATTAGTGCTATAGGGATTTCTTGATACTAGCATACAGGACTTTGGGGTTATAGCTAGATAAGAAAGCAATGCACCTTTCCTCCTACCAGCCCTGCTAGCATCCCTCTGTGGATGGGAAACACTGGGCAACAAGGGAAAATAGGTCTGGAACAAGGGTAACCTTGTGGATAACCTGAAAGCCAAAGACTTGTTTTTAAGGAAAGATAAATCCCCTTAATTAGCAAGGGCCACTTAGGAAAAACTACCACTATGAGAAACAAGTTTAGCTATTTGCCAAGTCATGTGATATCCACTACAAATCTCTTCGTAACTGACACTCTGAGACCACAGCATAGTTATTAGAACAAAATTTCTCCAAGTAGGGACTATTTCTATTATAACATTATCAAACTATTTATTAAAACCTGTTGTAGAAGGTATTAGATTAAGTAAAACAAAATTACAGGTTCCCTATCCTGCATGTATTCTTTTTTCAACCAATAGTACAACTCCAGTTCTACTACACACATCATGTCTTGTCATCATCAAAAATGGTGTGCCTGTTTTCTTCACTTACAATTCAAGAGAGATGGTAGACATTAACAAATGCTGCTCTAGTAAAGATTTTACCTGATACTGGAACTGAATGGGCTGTAGTTGACTGCCATCCTGAGTCATCTTCCTGGCTAGGGCCTCTTTCAGTGCAAGGGCTTTATTCAACTCAACCAGCTCCTTAGACATCTGAGCTTGACGGAGAACATGTTGAGTGGTGAATCCATCAGAAGACCTACTGGTCTGTAGACTGGTTTCCACTTGCTGGAAAAGATCAGCATAACGATTTGTAAGAAAAACAAGCAACTGGAGTTCCTTAGGCACTACTTCATTGAGTCTCAGCCACTTATCCATTACCTGTACCTCTGTTCTTTCAAAACTGGTTTCTCATACATTCACTTTAAATATCTGAAATAAATTGTGCTAGCTTATTTCCCTTCTCTCACAAGCATCTTATTTCTTTTATCTTTTGGGTCATGTTTTCTTGTCCATTCAGCTACCCTATGTTTTGATTGGAGCATTTAATCCATTTACATTTAACATTATTATTAACAGGTACTCAGCTATTGCCATTTTATTTCTTTATGCCTATGTTTCTCATTCTTTCTATGTCAACTTATTACAGCAGTCCTTTTAACATTTCTTACAATGCTGGTTTGGTGGTGATCAACTCCTTCAGCCTTTTTTTTCTGTCTGGAAAGCTCTTTATTTTACCATCTATTTTGAATGATAGCCTTGCTGGATAGAGTAATCTTGGTTTCAGATCCTTGTTTTCCATTGTCTTGAATACTTCATGCCATTCTCTTCTGGCCTGTAGAGTTTCTGATGAGAAATCAGCTGACAGCCTTATGTGAATTCCTTTGTAGGTAATAGATTGGTTTTCTCTTGCTACCTTTAAGATCCTCTCTCTGTCTTGAATTCTTGGTATTTTAATTATGATGTGTCTGGGGGTGGGCTTCTTTGGGTTCTTCTTGTTTGGGACTCTCTGTGCTTCCTGAACTTGTGTGATTTTCTTTGACCAGGTTAGGGAAGTTTTCTGTCATTTTTTCTTCAAACCAGTTCTCTAAGACTTGCTTACTTTCTACATCTTCTGGAATTCCTATGGTGTGAATATTGTTAAGTTTCATGTTGTTCCACAGCTCCCTTAAACTGTCCTCCTATCTTTTGTTTTTTCCTTTTTGTTCTTTGATTTTTTTCAACCCTGTCTTCTAATTCGTTGATCTGGTGGTCAGCTTCTAATCTGCTGTTCATTCCTTCCAATGTATTTTTTTTATTTCTACTATGTCATTCTTAATTTCCTTCATAGTTTCCATTTCTTTTTTCATGCTGTTGAGCATCCTTATGATCAGTATTCTGAACTCTATATCTGATAGATTGTTTACCTTCATTTCATTTAGCTCTTCTTCTGGAGAATTCTTTTGTTCTTCCACTTGGGGCTTGTTTTTTTGCCTCCCCATTTTGGTTGCCTGTTTGGATTTGTTCTATGTATTAGGTATATCTGCTAGGACTCCCAGTCTTTTGGATGGTCTCTGGAGCAGGCCAATGTCAGATGCTGTTTTTGACTGGCCTTGAGTACCCTGTTTGAAGCTTTCCATACTCCACAGCTTTGTGGTTCCCTCTGCTGGGGCTGGGTGCATTTGTAAAGGACAAAGATGCGCACCAAGGTCTGCTTTTCCACGCCCTGGGTCCAGAAGCAAATCAAGCAGGTTCCTTATTTCTTATATCTTTTAACTGATTCTTTTAGAGTGAACTAAATTTCTTGCTTTTTTCTTTTTCTTTTTTTATTGATTTTTTAGAGAGAGATGAAGGGAGGGAGGGAGAGGGAGAGAGAGGGAGGCAAGAAGAGAGAGAGGAAACATCGATGTGAGAGAGAAACATCAATCGCCTTCTGCACATGCCCTGATTGGGGATCAAACCCACAACCTAGGTATGTGCCCTGACCAGGAATGAAACCTGCAACCTTTTGGTGCACAGGATGACCCTCCAACCAACTGCGTCACCCAGCCAGGGCCCTTGATCTTTTCTTTATTAATCATGCCAACATTTCTCACATTTACCTCATTCTGAGGGTCCTTAGAGGAGAGAGGGCTATGGAAATGCCATCTTAGGAATGGAGGAAATGTAGAAGAGGCTTCATTTATTCTTAAAAAGCTGACCTCTGGTACCTGATTTATCTTCTACCTTTCTTCTTTCAGAATATGAAAACTGATATATATTGGCTTTAAGGAGAAAAAGCTTTCTCAAGCAAACCATTGTCCAGCCTTTCATTTTGACTTTGCTCTATTACCTTTAGCCAACATTGAATATATTTTATCTATTGAGTACTCAAAATATTTTCCTTGGTTCTATTAGCTTCTAACCATCCCATACATAGAAAAGTATGCTGAGAAAAAAAGTTCTCTTCCATTTCTTCTCTTATGCTTTTCTGACCTTGCCATAATTTCAGGGATTCTCTTCCTCAGCTGAGTGATAAATTATAGGCAATGGCACAGTTAAAGCTCCTGGTTCTACACAAAGGGGCTGATTACTTACAGCTTCCGGATCAACTCCAGTATCAATGGCTGCAGCCATGCAAGCAACAGTATCATCCTGCAATGACAAATGATGTTTCAGTTTAGAAAAAGATTCTGAAGTGAAGCTTACTAGAGTATTTTATACTGGTTATTTAATTTTTTCAAGTGTACACAGAGACCACTTAAGGTATTGAATCCTTCTGTAGTCACATATACTCTAACAGCCACATGTTTTCATTTCCCACTTCTCAAGAGATTTTTAAAAAAATATATCTTTATTGATTTCAGAGAGAGAAAGGGAGAGGGAGAGAGATATAGAAACATCAATGATGAGAGAGAGTCATTGATTGGCTGCCTCCTGTGCACCCCCCACTGAGGATTGAGTCCGCAATCTGGGCATGTGCCCTGACCGGGAATCAAACCGAGATCTCCTGGATCCTAGGTCAATGCTCAACCACTGAGCCACGCCAGCTGGGCAAGATTGTCTTCTTTATAAAGGTCGATTGTGCAGTCTTTGGAAAAAACAGGGTAATGTGGCAACATACATACAGGGTGGGGGCAAAAGTAGGTTCACCGTTGTGAGTGCACAAAAGTTTATTCTTATATTATTATTAATTATTGCATTATTTTCCATACAAACAACTGTAAAACTACTTTGCCCCACCCTGTACTTATTGCATCTCTCTTGCTTGGCTAGAGGTCACTGGCCCAGAGTGAAACACTTAACCACTCCAACGGGCCAAAGTTTAAGTTACTTACAGATGCCACTCTTTTCATGTTAAAAAAATTTTTTTTTAATCCTCACCCAAGGACATGCTTAGAGGGAGCGAAAGGGAGTGAGAGTGAGAGCAAGAGAGAGAGGCAGTGATGTGAAAGAGAAACATTGATTGGTTGCCTTCCCTACACTCCCTAACTGGGGATTGAACCCACAACCCAGGCATGTGCCCTGACTGGGAATCAAACCAGCAACCTTTCAGTGCACAGGATGATGCTCAACCAACTAAGCCACTCTGGTCGAGCATCTTTTTATGTTTTTACCACTAAATCTACTTTATAATATACAGGTCTAACCAGTCCTCCTGGACACACCATCCTAGGAACAGACATATCAAATTAAGGCAATGTAGCAGAAAAGTGAATAAAGAGTTATTTTGATTTTTATTTTATAGTCAAGGTAGCAAGACCCTACCCTACAAGGAAATAAATGCCATGGTAGATACCCTAGAAAAATGTGCCCATGAAGTCAGACAAATATACTGCAGCCTCTGTCCCTCATATATTAGAACGGATCATATGCAGCTTCTCCAGGTAGTGGAGGGAAAGGGCAGGCACCAATTCTCTCCCAGAGAAGAGCAAATTCCTTTTGGGGGCATTGAACACCACTTAAAAGGGAAATCTAAAACCACTTATTTGGATTAATTTGTTTATAGGCTATCACATGAGCAAGCTCAGTTCTCCTGGTGAAATTCAGGCTTTATTTGGCATTATAACATAAGGATTACCACTTCTGTTTAAGTGCTCCTGCAAAGCTCCGGGAAGAAAGGATTATTTCCAGGAAGTCACATGATTAAAGAGGTCATAGGTGAAAGAGCTATTGGCTCAACAGCAAGGAAAGAAGAATTTAGGGTTAGCATAAGGAGTCTCTGTGCCAGCCCAGTGAAACATTACATTGTTGTTGGAACTTAAATCTCAGTACCTTTAAGGTGAGGACTGAAATGGCCCTTAGTAAGTGCTGTTTATAAAGCATTTCCCTTATTCTGCCCAGAAATTCTCAACTAGTGAGACACAAAGAGAATTCAAAGGAAGCGCCAGTGTTTCCACATCCTGTCTCATCATGATTTACAATACTGGTGATTCTTTAAGAGCAAGACATACTAAATCTTTCTTTAAAACAAAACAAAACAAAACAGAGCACTTCAATATATTATAGGTTAATAGTTACCCTTCCTCTCTCCCATGTTTTAAGTTTCAGTATAAGGACTAGTTATAGACCTAGTCTAAATTAGTAGAGCCTATAGCACTGACTTTTGGAGACTTTTTCTGGTACCTTCCAGAGGGTCAGGAATCTAAGTAGATGGGTTAAGCCTTAAAGATGACATGTTGTTACTATGGGTTTACCTTGTGGCCCAATGAAATTTCACAATGCTAAGGTTTAAGCTTTGGTGACACATTCTACATGAACATGGCAGGTTTCTGCCTTCACAATACTAAATGTAAATATGTAACAATAAAATTTATTTCGCTCTAACAGCCTTTCTCCCTCATTCTAAGGATACAACTGAGAACCTTTTGTGAGGGAAAAAGACATGATTTGCTGAAGGTGATGATCAGGGGAACAAGGGTAGGCTTCACTGAGATACAGTAACCAGCAATACCCACCAAAATGAAATCTGTGCTTGTAGGCTGTAGGCAATACCGTTACTGAGCATGCAAAATGCTTTTTATGGAACTAGTCTTGAGGTAGGGGATAAAAACAAAAAAAAAATTGATTTTGTTGAAAGGAATGCATGAATTTGCTCATGGGTAACCGCAAAAAGGAGGTTTACTTGAACTATATTTTAAAGGAATAAATGGTGCAGTTTAGCCCTTAAAGCTGAAGGAAACAGATCTGAGAACAATGACTGCCTTTATAACTGAAAATGGGGTGTTCACCCATTACTTACAATAAAAAGTTTTAATTCAGAATGAAGGGCACAAGCACTTACATTTGAAGCATTTTGCTTTCACTGTAGTAAGTCTTAATAAAATCCAAAGGACACATTGTTGTATATTTAATATATATATGTGTGTGTGAATATATGTGTGTGTGTGTGTGTGTGTGTGTGTGTGTATGTCTTTGGGAAAGTCTCCAAACAATAGATATGGAGAACTCTGATTCAAGAGTTCAGAAGGATCCATGGGTAAAAGGGTTTATTCTGTTTAACTGTGACAATGGATGGGAGCCAGGGACTTGATCAGCTTGTGGCAACCTTTAGCATCCTCCTCCTGCGTGTACCAAGTGAATTTTAGTGGCAGACACAGCAACTCTACACAGTTCCTCTCAGCCAGCCACCACTAGCAACTTCCTTTATAGCAAGGGTGGGGAACATCTGGGATACCACCTGCAAAGTCATTTGGTATGGCCCTGCCAAGGCAACCACAAGCAGGACTCGAAATTCAATAAATCTAGGAGCTTTTTTCATAGCAAATTTTTAAGTTGATAATTTTGTATGGCCCACAAATAATGTTATAAATATCCAAATGGCCCTTGGCAGAAAAAAGGTTCCCCATCCCTGCTCTATAGGCATGCCAGGCACCAGTCATATTGCCAGATCGTCACTGAGGATATGCCTTCTCTTCTTAACCTGGTTTCATGGGTTTCCTTTTTCATCTTTCCCATGTGACTCAAAGACCCAGAGATGAGGTGGTGTGGCCACAAACAAAGGTGCCCTGGATCACTCTTTTCTGATCTTATAAGCTTTGGCTCCAGTAGGGTTCTGAAGCCTAGGTTATTTTAATTCTGAGGCAGCTCAGGTTTTCACATATTAGATGTTCCAGCTATAGTTAAGTGGAATTATAGACGGTGAAATTTAGCCTTGTGATGGTCATTCTTTGGAATGTACTCTATACTTCAGTCATACTGAAGTTCTTACCATGTTCTAAACTTTTATACCCCTTTGCTTTTGCATATACCTTTTCCTCTCTATAGATTGCCCTTTCCCCTCTGTGTGTTTGGCAACCTCTTATTCATTTTTAAGGACCAGTTTCTTCTGTGCTGCCTTCCTGAATTTTCTAGGTAGATAATCACCCCTTCCTTTGTGCTCCTAACACACTTTGCTCATATTGCTAATGTAAAAGGATTAAAACACACAAGAGAAGCTTCCTAGTTTTCCCTTGCCTCCTTTTCCTTTCTACCTTCTGTGCCACCTCCCACATCTGTGAATCTTGCCCAACTGACAAACCACAAGGCTTGTGAGAATAATTGTTGAAAATAATTGAACAGTTATCAGAATGGGATTGTACTGATGTTCTTGAGCATGAGCCATGAGAACTGTAATAGCCTTCACCCAAAGGTTTCATAGCGATTAACAACAAAAACTGCTATCTGAGCCCAACTCCAGGTAACTACCAGAGTCAAAGCAGGGCTGGAATATGGTAGGCACTCCCTGAGTGTATCAGCTGAATAATGCCTTTAACCTCTATTTGAGTCACTTAAATTATTTTCTTTTGTTATTAATACATACTTAGCAAGGGTACGCAACTAGTGAATGGCAAAATTTTAAACCAGGGTCTGAGTGGCTCTGGAGCCCAGGTTTTTAATTACTGTGGCCTGTTTGTTGGATAAATGAACTGTCATTCTGAACAGTTCCTGATAGTTTTGTACAGTACCACTTATTCTGAAAGACTGCTTTCTAGCCTTTTGGGAGTCTAGTCATTTAATTTCTTGGAACAGGCCACCCTAACCCTTTCCCTCTTGATACTATATGGTATTTTTTCCCAGTGAATCTTTAGAGTAAAATATAGCTGTGGATGATTTTGTAATATCCTTCTGACAACTCTAGACAACACTGGGCAAAACCTGGGGTGGAGAATCACTATTCTGATAAAATTAAAACCTCTGCCCAAGAGCTAGGAATTAACACCAGACATTTACATACACATTACTACTTTAGAATGATAAATAAGAGGGTACAGATGGAACAAAGCCAACCATAACCCCTTAACCAACCATGACCCCTTAATAGAATATGATTTCAATTTTTAAAAAGTACACATACCTAAGGACTAAGAGAAGGAACACTATAAATAAAAAGAGGGTTTTAGGGTGGAAGAATTGTAAGAATTTTTCTTTTGGGGAAAACCAACAAATAACACCCCCCC